GGTAGATTATAGGCCATTATCTTACCATTACCTCTAGAGTAGGGCTCTTAAGAACTTACCTAACTTAATTAGGATAACTTGGCGCAAGATGGCATAAATTGGCCAAACCCACTAATATATAACACGAACAACGCCTATATTAAATACTAGCACCATCTATGGTACCATTGCTTGCAGAGAATCCACTCTTAGGGTAAGAGTGTCCCTTTAAGGGGGATAATATTAGACCTCCCCTACTATGGACCAGGCTGCTCACCCTAAGGTCATATGACTTAGACTATATAGCACTAGGAGCTGGTAGATAGAGCCCGTTAGTAATTCGTCTATCCTATACCTAAATGCTACTATCTCTCCACTATTAAAGTTAAGGCTACACTATTCACCCCATACCTCTAATAACAGTCGCATGCGTCAAAGATCACTAACTAATAAAAACTTACTCTATAGTAAGAGGTAGAGCTTATTAAATATATAAAAGGGTTAATAGCGCGTTACTTACTATCTATAAGAGAGATAATATAAAATTTTATATTAATAATAGCTAAGGATTGTTAGAATCCACAGCTTGGCCGCGGGGCTCTCGCTACTTTTGGGAAGAGGCAGGACCCTGACTCAGCCTCATATCACGTGACTCAGGTCACGAGTCCTAGGAATACCAGAAGAGGCACGGACCTCCTGGGATTTTAGGATTCTGTGACATTAGGACTTCTAGGATTTCTGGGACATGTTAAGTATATAGGAACTTAAGTATAAGCCCTTAAGTATAAGCCCTTAAGAATAAGCCCTTATATTCGTGTTTAACCTATTTATTAATCTATCGTTTAGATTACACTTAGGCCGTATTATTAACTCATTACATATCTTCTAATACTACTATATTATAAGACCCCTTCTCTTCCCCTTAGTTATCTTGCCCAAGAACTAAACTTAACCCTTTAGGACTAGCTACCCTTCTAGATTTAATACCTATTGTTAAATCTAGAAGGGTATCGCAGACTACATCCTTTGTGTGGTCGTCTCCGATCTTCGAAGTCTGATGTGGCTTCTGGAGGAATTCGAATGCAGCACACAAGTCCCGCATTGTTTGACGGACGTGATTATACCTCCAGATTGTCGCCCACTGATGTCGTCACTTTCAGAACGCTCAGGAAGGGAAGATACTGGAAAGCCGCCACACAATGTCTTCGTGGATTTCTGTAACCAGCCCGAGTTGGACTAGATCCTCTTACCAAGCGCGAACCGTCACGACGATCTCTCAGTTCCTTCCCTCTTGGAAGGATACTTGGCTGCGGTACTTGGACGCCCTCGGGTCCGTATCCGAGGCATGTTTTTTTTTGGCTTTTTGCATTTTGCACAGCAATGGCCGCATTATTTGCAAAGCTAGGCGCACCGAATGCGACGAGAAACGTTCGACTTTGGATGGCTTGGATTGACTATACTCCGCAAGTGGCTCAAATCCGGATCTTCTAACGAAGAATGACACAGTCGTGGAATATGGACAGTCGCTCTGATGCACGGTGTGCGGAGTCAGAATCCCTCCGATGATGCCATAATCCCATGATCGGAGGAATTTCAGTAGCGCGCCGTGCTACGCTAGTGTCCTCGTAGGATCTTTGATTGGTCACATTTAGGTTGAACCTTACCACATTAGATTGTCGTCGCTTACCGAAATAATTGCTGAGCTTACGTACACCACGCAATCATGTTTTTCAGCAGTACATTATTTGAGACCCTTGCGCAAATGTACGCTAGCTTTTTCGCAACGCCGACGATAGGCCATTCATCATCCACACTCGACCGGAATGGCGATCTGTGTCTTTGTCAAAGAATTACCCTCGGCCGTAACATGTCGGGATCCCGCAATCCTGTAATGGTAAACTGCGGACAGCCTGATTCATTGGCCATGCACTTGCCGTACCTAGGTAAGGCCTCGGTTGGTTGTGCACCGATATTCTCCTGTCTTTTCTTGGAGTACAACATATATAAGAGCCATATAATCGTCCTCTTTGCTTGTATCATTACCCATCAGAATCCCTTTTAATACAGACCGTCAGATATAATCGAGCCATTTCAGCCATGTCTATTCAGCCAATTGAGATCTGGGGCCACTGGGGCGCTGCCAACCCATCGTAAGTATTGTTAGTTTGCAAGTGCAACGACGTGGTAGCAGACCTGCTCACAGATCACGTAGGAAAGTTCGCATGGTTCTCGAGCAACTTCAGCTCCCATACATAGTCCACCTCAAAGAATTCACCGAGATAAAGAACAACGATTATCTCAAAATCAACCCTAACGGGCAACTCCCAGCTATCAGGGATCCAAACTCTGGTTTGACGCTTTGGGAGGTTAGTGATGGCATTCTCGATGTGCCGTATAGAGAATCCTCGAGCTAAGCACTGATACAGACTGGCGCAATCATCCAATACCTCGTGGATCAATACGACACGGAAGGAAAGATTTCGTACAAGACTTTTCCAGAGAAACACCTCACCCAGCAGTGGCTCGCTTTCGAGACCTCCGGTGAGTTTGCAGAAGTCACGTCAAGTCCGCCGCTTACCAGACTCTATATAGGTCAAAGTCCATATTTCGCTGAAGCAACATATTTCGTCCGCTTCAATCCCGAGAAGATCCCTTCCGCAATCGATCGCTATGTGAACGAGATTCTTCGGGTTACTGGCGTTCTCGACAAGGCTATCAAAGCTAATGGCACTGGATGGCTCGTTGGCAGTAAGATGACGTATGCTGACCTTTCATTCGAGGCATGGAGCACCATAGGGGAGGGTTTGCTGAAGCACCTGGGTAAGTGGGAAGGGTTCGAGCAGCAGTTCCCTACATATACTGCGTGGCTTGCATCTATGAGGTCGTTGGAATCTGTGAAAGTGGTCGAGGAGGAGGCCGCCCGTGGGATGGCTGCCCATGGCCTATAGAGTCAAAACGTATACTTCGGGTCACTGTCCGCCTCCGTTAGTATGGGGTGGCGCGTGGTTCTCATAACACCAGGAATTGGTAGCCAACGATCAAAGTTAAAACGTTCTCTCTATCTAAGCTCCTTCCGGCCCCAAGTGACGTCGATAAGACAGAAGAGCACACCCATCAACCCTCCTTATACCATCTAGCGAGAAACCAGGGTCGGCTTCCTCCAGAAGATGTTCCCATTGGTTCTGGCTGCGGATGCAACCGTCGAACAAGTTCACCATCGTCATATCCACCCAGCTGTCAGCGCAGTATGATCAGCATACGTCTCCTTCCATTGTTTCAAATGCCAACTCACCATGTCATCTTATGCCTCCTCGTGCCCTCTGCTGTGTCGGCATGAACATACTCGTAGATCAGCACCTCGCCCCTGTCTTCATTGCTGGATCCAGCGCTCTTAAAATTTGAACACAGTACTTGTCGCTCCAGTTGAGGAAAATTCTTGCGAAGACAAAAACGTCGACCCCTGTCGTTGGCTGTCGCTCGAGGAAATCATGGGCCTGGAACTCAATCCTAGACTGTAGTTCGGCCGGCACCATCCCTGCACCATGGGCAATAACATGAGCATGGTCTTGCACGAAAGAGGATATATGGTTTGTGGAAGATGTTAGAATCCTTGCAAGATTCCCGGATCCGCCTCCGACATCGACTACAAGCGTCTCTAAGTGATCCCATTCAGCCCATGGGAAGGTCCCCAGTAACAATTCTTAGTCAACGGCGTCACCGCCGGACATCGCCCGTCCGAAACGATCTGCTCTATCCGGATGCTGCTAGAGATAACGATACATCGGTAAATCAGTATTGTGGGCCAGATCTTTCGCCGTGGCATTTCGTTCGACAGACCCTGAAGATTTCATCGCATCGGGGAGTCGCAGAAGTGTGGGCAACCACTCCTGGAGAGTGCCACCATGCATTTCGAAGAGAGCAGAGGCTTTCAAGCAGTATGAGTTCGCTGTGCGCAACGTGGCCTGATTCTGATTCACCGAAGCGACCGTTTGTCACAATGTAGCGTATGACGCGACGGAGAGTGGCTTCTTCTATAAACGTTCCCTTTTCGCGGTTGCATGACAATGCCAAGTCAGCGTACGATATTAATCCTGACGGAGGCTCGCGCTGTGGGAGGTTCAGGTTGCAAATAATCAGTAATGATGCCACATCTGCCGGTTGCGCACTTATGTGTATGGGATTGTAAACAGCAGTGCACTCCGTGCATATAGTAGACTACCTACACTATAGAATATGTTCATGAATATATATTTCAGGCCCAAGACCTCTCTCTTTATCTCCTCGAGGGTTTTTAGCAAGATACAGCTCCTACAGCTCCATTTAACTATTAGATGCTTCGGAGGGTGCTAAAATTTTAAAAGTCTCTACTTCGTCTGCTAGTGCGCTACTATTCTGTGCTAAGTCGCGTAAGAGAAGTTATTCTAAGGCCCTGCTACGCTTTTTGTAAGATCTGCTAACTTTTGTTATAGAAGAAGCTAGAAAGTAGCTTTTCACATTCGGACGCAGGACAGAATGTAGAAGTCTGGCCATTATAGGCAAAGTTGATAACTTACCGCGGCGCAACCATTGTATGACCAGCCCCGCGATGTGCTACCTAACGGACCCAATGAATTCCTGAACGGTAACACATGCAGATACATCGGGCTTCTCCGCCAACGTAAGATAGCATCAGTTTCTAGCAATGTCGATGCGTCGGCACTTGCTTGAAGATAAAACCGTCCCGACATGTGTGGTCAAATCACGTTCAAAGCTGAAGAAATCTTGGTGCAAATTTCCTCAATGACAGCTTGGGAACCGAGGGTGCCGGCCGAATTCGTTTCTGCCGGGACTAAACAGATGCAGTCCCTGGCTTGAGGATGTTGGTCATCCTGATTCCAACTCCTATTATGAGCTTTAGTTGGAGGCTTACAAAAGGCCTATGAGATGTGGTGAAAAACGCGTGTTCTACTTGGATGATTTGGATGACTCTCCGTTTGTTAATGTACGCTCTCGATCTGACCAAGTTGTGGCAGCACCATGGATGGTACTTTATTCGTATTTGAAATAGCTTCTTTAGTCTGATAAACTATCACCTACATTCAGGAGCCTTTCTTGGTACACGAGGAGCCTCATTTAAGTAGGGAGGCATATGAGTTAGCTAATTCATAAGGCCTAGGAAGAGTGTGAGAAGGGTCTATGATTTCACGTTTGTGATGAAGCAAAAGAGTAGCTGAGTATGTCTTGGGAACGTCTATACAAGCCCCTGAAGACCCCATGAATGAGATATAAACGTTATGCACCAGTCTATCTGATAACCCTTGATGGAAAGTTTGCAATCAGGCCACCTGAAGTGTGACGGGCCATACTTGCAGATCATAGTCATCTTGGGCGATGGCCCCGCGATAAATCAGTGTGTTCGCGCATTGATTCTTGTGCTTCTGTGCAACTACCGTGAATCTTGACCCTTGGGTGTTACATGTCTTATGTTGTCGATACGAGGAGCTCGTCACAATTGAGGAATAGCGTCCTTTATGCGTGCTAAGAGCTTGCTAAGCGCTCCCTGGGTCATAGGAAGTTGTTTGGCTAAAGAGTACTATAATGTTCTACTTATTATTACACTAACTGCGTATGCTGTTATAAGGGGTCTCCACGTACCTAACCGTAGGTTCGGACCTTGTGGGTATTCAGTAATTCGAGCGTAAGGGAAGGTGGTACCAAAGGGTTGTATAAATATCCTATACCATATAATAGTACAATATAACAAATTATAAGAGAAGACTAATAGTTTACATAAAAAAAATAGCTTTAATTTAGATATAAAAGTAAGCTTTTGAAGTTAACTACGAAGAATAGGAAATATCTAAAGAGTGTCCTATACTATATACTATTCATCCTATTCTTTAATCTCCTAGAATCCTGAGGGTTCCCTGGGATCCTGCCCTCTTGGTGGGATACCTTCATTGTCTCCCGCCAAGCCCTCAGTCTCCCAGGATCCTCTAGTCTTAGTAGGATCCTGGTCACGTGACTTATGACATAATTCTGGTAGGCGTCTAGCGCGTTGGGATGCATCGGCCTCTAACCCGGGGGTTCCTACTGTCCCGCCAGACGTCTTTGTTTTCCTGCCGTCATTCTGTGTGATTGTAACATATGCCTTTTTAGCTAGCAAAAGTTCGCGACGTAGCGTCTTATAAGGCTAAGAAAAAGTAGAGGAAGTCTTACGCGGCTTTCTAGGCGTTAGAGGTATATTGAATTAAAAAAATTTGGCGTGATTTGGGAGAGTTATGGGCGCGTGAAGTAAGTAGGTTGGTGTTGACAATGGTCCGCGGAGTGGTGTTCGGGGACTAGCGTGTACGCTATTCCTCAATTGTGACGAGCTCCTCGTATAGTGCCAATGTATCAGATCCCATGTGTATCCTTGCACACACTGACCGATCGCCTTACGAGGCTGCATTAGCGTGGTTTGCCTTTTTGAAAGTTGAGGGCAACTTCCCAGGGTTAAGAGCTATTCAAGCTGCGATCTGGTTGGGAGGATAGATAGCTTTAACGATGTAACTTTAATTGTTTACCATTATATCTAATTGGATGAAAAGATTTATTTCTAGATGTTAATATATAGATTAGGGCCCTACCTAAGGCACGTGCCCCACCCGACTCCTCAGAACCATCCTTGGTTTCCAACACTACCCTTTTACTAAGCATAGCTTAACAGAATCTTCTCAAGAGTTCCTAGAGCGTCTAAGGCCTCGTTTTCCTTCTTGATCTCAACAGAACGCATCTTATACTTCGGCTCCCTCAATACCTTATCGACGGCCTCGGCCAGAGCTTCTTCCGTCGGGTTCTGTGTCCTTAGGTTGATAGCAATACCGCAGTACTCGGCCCTTGCACTAACATCAGCCTTGTCCAGCTGAGCACCTGCCAGCACCATCGGCACACCATGGACGACGCCGTGGGAATAGCTACCAAAGCCCCCGTTGGTAACAAACACGTCTGCTTTCTGCAGTACGGCATCGTAAGAGAAATAGTCAAGAATCCGCGCGTTGGCCCCGACTTTAACATTGCTGGGAAGCGTTTTGCCACGAGAGCCCAGCGTGGCAATGACGATGAGATCGCTCCGAGAGGCAAGCGCACAGAGTGCAGGGATTAAGAGCTCCGTATGGTCGACCGTTACGGTGCCTTGGGTAATGAAAACGACTTTTTTACGCTGGGTTGAATCGACGGGGAGTCTGGCGTTGGCCTCGATCTCAGGCCACCAGGATGGATATACCAGGTCGAGCCTAGTGGGATTCACTGGCAGGGTCCCAATAAATCTGATCTTGGGGTTGACGTCGGAGCGTGGAAATTCCATGCTTGGGCTGTAAGGCAAGAGTGTTACTTCGCCAATGTTCATGAGCCTGTCGAAGTAGAAATCTGTCACGTCCTTGGTTGCACCGAGGGCCTTGTAGATGTCGCTGGCGTAGTCGTTGAGTGTCGTGGATTTGGAGATAACAGAATCCCACATTTCTTTGACCGTGGCCCGCTCCCTGTCGCTTGTTGCGGGTGGCAGTGCTGGGCCGATGGGGAACACATCGCTGCTCTGCTCAAAGTTGATCGTTGTATGGAAGTTGATCATCTTGGGTAGTTGATCGTAGCCCTTGGGTAAGGGCGCTCCATAGTAATACGGAACAACGCAGCTTGCCATGGACTCATGAAACATAACGACCTGGCGCCCCGGATTCTCGTCCCGGACCCTCTCGAGCGTGGCCCTGAGCACCGGGAACCCCGTTGGCGTCGATTTCAAGAACACTTCCTTTAGGGCGAAAAGGAAGCTGTCAATACCATCCAGCTGAGATACACCTTCCAACCAATCAGGGGTGACGAAGTTGAAGGTATTCTCGATGTATTGGGCACCACTTTCTTTGATTGGGCCCTCGAAATCAGAACCGCTCACAAAGTAGACCTTGAAACCGAGTTTGACCAAATGGCTCGAGATATGGATCATGCCGCTGTTGTGTCCGAATGCGGGGAAGGCTACAGCCACGATGATAGGCTTCGCCTTCTGGGTTGTTACGCTGCCTATGTCACCCATCTTGTGTTTCTAGCTGTTGCCACAACACGGCATGGTATAGGTCAGGTCACTGCTCACTGCATCCAAATTTTTCTTTCGTCCAGAACATGTAAGGTTGTCGTGTGTTACGAGGTAGTGATGGGTTACCACGCGCCTGACAAGCTTAGTGTGATAGCCGTTTGTACGTAGTAAAGAAAGCACGAGAACCCTCTTAGGTCCAAGGTACCCAGGGACGAGGATCGGGTTGCCGAGCGCAGGTCAGGGCTAGGGCTCAAGTGGTAACGTTAACAGGTAGAGCGGTCAAATAGCTTTAGAATGTTGTCAACGATGCAAAAATCCAGGATCTGTTAGAAGAGACCACTAAGGTAGAAAAAGGCGATATATATCGAGAGCATAGACAGCGGTTATCACTCCCTTGTGATTGTTGTCACTTCGGTACTCGGCTCGCGAGCAGATTTCTAATAAATAATCGCGGGAGATCCGGCATTTGTTACACTCCGTGTTTATGACTATACCGGCGTTTGCTGGCCAAAGCGCCGACCTATGATTACTATAGGTAAACTCTGTCTCCGACCACCGAACTTCAAGCGTGTAACTGGGAATAACTTAATTAATAATGATATATGCAAGGTTTAGAATATATTATCCTAAAGAGACATATATACATCTCTTAATTTCCCTATATAGTGTCACGGTAACCCTAGGCTACCTGACAAGCATGGATATACTGCTGGCAGCAGTATATCTCAGAGGTATCGCGCGCTGGCAGTCAGCCGAGAGAACAGCAAACGGGTGACCCGTCTGCTAGCTGATTGGTCGAATCATGGCGCTAGCTACCCTTGGTAAGGGCATGCGACGAAGCGAGATGATAGATCTACGTTGACGAAGGGGAAGAGGACCTTTTCTCCTTATCCAACGTCTTGTACCTACAAGTAGATACCGAACGCAGTAATATTAGTCTAGCCTACTAGGCTGTAGACGTCTCTACTCGTTGCTCTTGTGACACATCCCTATTAAAGACAGATTTTGGTCTCGAATATATAGAAGGTCTAACGTTAGTCGTATGTACTCTTAGATCTGCAGTTGTTCTGATCCGCTGGAAAACTTCAATCAATTGATGTGAGATCTCTCAGATATCGATATGGACTTACTCGGCCGTGCACCATTGCTGTTTAGAGCTAACGTGTTCTGTTCACTATACCGAGTGTATATGATAAAATATGAACTATGGCACTTATTGTTCTTCTACCCTTGAAATTGCGTAGAAAAGCGAACGGTATGCTACTGAGATTTTCGCGTGTGGTCGCTGTCCAGCTTCGTGAAATCAATCACACCAACCAAAGTCTCGATCTCAACTACCAGAACTTCGAGATCAGATGTGATCATGTTAGAGAGTATCTCCATGACCGCAAACGCGGAGTATCCAGCTTCCTTCATATACAAAGTACTCAGGATATCAGGATCGAGTCCCCTGAGCTTTTCCGAGAGGTGATATGCTTTCGGCAATTCAATGCGAGGTGGTAATGACCGACCAGTTGAGATTGTGGCTGAAAGTTGGCAGAGCACAGAGGTCGAGCTCTCCACAGTTGCGTTGAGGGGCCCTATCAGTTTTGAAAGATCTTCGAGCCACTTCCTGTCACATGTATGGTAGAGCTGTGCTGCATCTGAGGTGTTGGTCGACCAGGCCTGGGTCGCATGGGATAGTAGTGAAACATATTCGAGGAGACTATTTCGAGGGATTTGAATCAGCACTACACAGTACAAACATTAAAACTAGCTACCCGAAATACTTACAGACTAAGGTGTGACAGAATCTTCTGAAAAGTTACGACTGGAAACCGCCCGCCTAAGCTCGGCTCATACTTCTGTAAGTATATATTGTGAATAGCCCGAGAGTCGAGATAGATAATCTTGTTGAACATGGCCTTTCGTGTGTGTGATAAAATATGTCCATGACTATGCTTGTTGTTCGCATCGCCTTCGGTACCGCGAAGTCTGGATCTTATGGTAGCGTGGACAACAGCGTGATAGTTGGCAAGGAGCTCCATGATGACTGATATCTGGGTACGAAGCAGTCCTCTCGCGGTAATAGGGTATGGGAGGTACGTGAAGAAAATCGATGCACATGTGCCCCATAACACACAAGCTACACGTAATGCAGCCACGTAATACGGAGGGAAGACGTATATACCGCCTGATTCGGCAGCTGCGACGCCGATCTTGGCGACCTGAAGCTCGTAGCCGATTGTAAGCACTTCGGTAATGAAGATAACAAGCCATCCGATGATGTACTGCGGCCATCTGAGCAAGAAGTACATCTGTAGGAAAGCTACGAACCACATGATGACGATGACACCTCTGTTGTTGTTTAGCTTAGTGTTGCCAAATGGGATGTGGGAAACGTACGGAACTTCTCCGTTAGGGATGTACCATACAGCGTAGCAGATGATCAAAGCCGCGAATGAGCCAAGGATACGAAGGACGTATGAAACTCCAGACTGTCCCGCGGACATGTTTCCCCCAATTGCGGCGATTATGACGGACCAAATGAGACGATAATGAGTAAATATCTCCTGAGTCTGATGGAGGTATGCAAGGATTGCGCACGACATGGTTGCACTGGTACATGATTAGCACTAGAAACAACTGACCCATGATTTACTTACCATGCTGACCTAAATCCGAAGCTTAGTTCAGGCCCTTGGAGAATTGTCTGGAACCTTCGTACCCTGAGCCCTAGTCGCTCATATGCATTTCGAGGTGGAAGATGCTCGATGTCTCGTGAAATTTGATTCGCTGTACACCACAACATATGCGTCTCGTTCTTAGAGCTTGATCTGTCGTCGTCGGGTATTGGAGTATTCGTCGTATCATACGTGCTCAAAAACCAATTCCATATTCTCCTTGTGGAAGGTATGATGAGACGGTTTCGTGACATCGTGCCCTTGTTCACGAGATCATCAGAAAATTTCGATAGGTCAAGTACTGCCAGGCCTATGCTATGAATCTAATCGACAAGGCAAGCGGCGTCAACTGATGTATCAAATCGCTAAAGCATAGTGATTGCTTACCATGTGTTGGATGTATAGTATTAGGTACAATTGTTGTCGATCCCTGTGCAGATGGACAGAACGCACTTGGCCATCGAAATCGCATCGACCTTGACTGGTCATCTCGTCCGATGTAGAGGACGTCCGTCCTTCGCTGTTCGCCCACGCATTTAAAGCGTCAACTCGCCTCTCCATAAAGTGGCCTAGTCCCTGCTCGAGAGTTTCCGAAAAGCGCGAACCGCCGGGTCGAATTGTCTGCCCATCTGACTCTATATCCGTCTCCTTTGATTTGGACAGACGTGGGATGAATCCGAAAAGTTTATTCGCTCCTGGTCGAGGTACGATCTCAAGCTGAAGTCCTGCATGTTCAAGACCGTCTTTCATGAGCTCGTTGGTACTGTTTGCAGAGTCCAGGAGGATGTTAATGCAGTGTTGCCATACCATGTCGTGTTCGTGTGAATAATCCATTCGGGCAGAACTTTCGAGGCCGGCATTACTAGTTTCCACTTCGGACTCGAAATCGTAAGGGTGCCATCCCCCGATTTCCTGAACTCGACCAAGGATGTCTGGAAGATGGCCCAGGCCGCTCCTGCATCTCAGGTTAATAGCTTTCTCCACAAGGTGTAAGTTAAATTATCGGACGAAGAAATTGACAAACTTACAGTGGCATCAAGATCCTGCGACAGAGGTCACTGACATAACCAATGTCTTTAGCAGTCAATTTCCCCCACGCAATCTCTCGCTTGGCCATGGAGAGCTCTTCATGCATCTTGACATATGTTTTCTTAACTTCGATCATCCGTCTTCGCAGTTCGAGGCCGTTATGAGAAGTCCCATCCAAGCGTTCTCTAGGAAATGTCGGGTTGTCCTGCAACGTGTGTACAAATCCACCAGCACTAGTAAGCATATCGCGAACGGCGTGGAGGAAGGTTTCTTGGACCTCAAATATCTCTGTTCGACAGGTGACAGGATATATGAGCATTCCGCTGACAAAGGAAATTGCAACACCGGTGTAGTAACACCGTGCAGTAAGATATATGAGGTCCCAACACTGAATCCAAGTGTGGAACCGGGAGCAGGACGTGTATTGGACGATGACGAAAATGTTGTAGAGGATTGTGGGGATTAGAAGGGCAGGGTATCTTGCTTGTAGCGTGTTGCTCACTAGGATATTGGCAAAGAGCCAAATACCAGTAACCGCTTCAAAGATGTCAGCTCGAATATTTCCGTTCTTGCTGCGTACAACGCGCGCCTGCCAACATACCGCTTTGCGAAGAATTGTATTTGTATAGGTTTTGTGGATCTGTGTGTTGCCTTGCCTGGATTCCTGACCATGTGGAGAGCATAGTGATTGGAATGGCAATCGCTGTAAAAAGACAGATGTTGAAAGTTGTTTCGATCAATTTGGCTCGGGGCAGGACGTTGACTGTAACAACGGCAATTATGGACACCAAGAAACCCAAGGATGTGTAGACTTCGGAAACAGCGGTGCTTTGGTAGAAGCCTAAAGAGATGGCAACAGGAACCGATCCTCTGCAGTCCAGTTAGTAGCTTTATGCTCGGTGACGACCCCAGTTGTGTTGATATACTTGAACATCTGACAGAGCATCTTCTGATCGATCTGCAGTGAAGGCCAGCCTTTCCACAAACGCCACCTCGGAAAAGACACCATATTGCTATGGGTTTCCTATCACAAGCGGGGGCGCAACGGCTGTGGAATATACCAAAGACAGTCAGTTATAGACTGGACGAAAGCAGATTGGAGCAGAGTAAAGAAATTCTGGGCATGCATGGAACCAGATAAAGCGTCTTAAACAAAGGCTTTAAAGAACATAAAAACATAGAAGGAGCATAAAGAAGGTGAAGGGCAAAGCGAGACGTCATACCGTGATATCCGACGCCGAGAGATCCGCGAAGCTACCCCGAAGGTTCCGAAGGTCGAAATTTGGCTAACCCTCCATGGCACCGCGCTCACACCAAGCTCTTTTTTTTCCAAGGGAGAGAGCTTCGATATGTCACTGAAAGGTCAGAGTCTTCCGCGAAGGTAATAACGAATTGGTCTAGCGTACAATGCCTGTCACCGCACCCCTCTGTTACGATCTTAGGATCTAATAGGTCCGTAAGCTGCTTATGATGAAACACCGGCCAAGATCCCCACCAAGGATTAGGTAATGTCCCACGGTGTCCCACACGCCAAGTCATGGGACACTGGGATTACGTGACAGGTCACGTGACTATACCATGGGATCCCACATGTCTCACGCATGGGATCTTATAGGACTATAGGACTATAGGATTCTATAGGATTATTATGTATATAGGAACTTAATTATAAACCCTTATACTTATAGTTAACCTAATATAAATACTAAGTAAGCTATATAGGTAAGCGAGCTACATACCCCACCGACTTTTCGTATTATATCACCTTTTAATTATAATGGCTTAACCAACTACTTTACAATCGCCCTATAACGAAGGCAATATATCTCTAGCTATCTTAGCAATTAATTAAAACTAGGTTTAAAGTGGAAGATGCGCTGCAACAATATATAAAGTCCCTAAAAGTACGCTCTATGGCCGATGCGCTAGAGTACTCCCACAACGTAATTTTAAGCCCAATTTAAAGAAGCTTAATAAGCTAGAAGAGGAGGTGATTACTAGGTATATCCTTAACCTAGATTCGCGAGGGTTTTCGCCAACCCTAGGTGCTATTCAAGATATGGCGAATAGACTGCTCACTAAGCGCGGCACTGGCCAGGTAGGCAAGAAGTAGCCACGCAACTTTATTAAGTAGATAGAAAGCCTTACCATACATTTTAATTAACTATATAATTAATAGAGAGCTCTATGTGAGGATCCTAAAGTAATTAGGGCGTAGTTTAACCTTATAGCGTGTATAAAAGCTACCTATAGGATCTATAATAAAGATACCTATAACTTTAATGAGACTGGCTTTATAATAGGTAGGATATTAGCTTAGCTTGTTGTTATAGGCTTAGAACAACGAGGTAGGCCAAAAGTAATATAGCTAGGTGATCGTGAGTAGGTTACTATAATTCATGGAATTAACGCTACTGGCTAGGCTATCCCACCCTTTATTATCTTTGCTGGCCAGTATCACCTCTCTACCTAGTATAAGGATAACGAGATACCATATAACTAGGCTTTCGCTGTTAGCAATAATGGCTAGATAATAAATAAGCTTGGAGTAGAGTGGCTAAGGTACTTTATTAAATATATAGTAGAGTATAGAGTAGGCGTATGCTAGCTATTTATACTTAATAGCTATAAGAGTTATAACTTACTTAAATTTCAAGCACTTTATAAGGAGAATCGTACCTCCTATAGCTACTTAATATTGGCTACTTCTTGCCGTTAAAGCGCGTATATAGCCACTAGATTAAGGGCCTAATTTGTAATCACATTAACTATATTATAAAGCTAGAATTCCTACCAGCCTTCTACGTAGCCTATAAGTAGTCTATTATAAAGGAGAATATCTGCATAAGCTTTTAAGGCGCTAGCCTAGTACTATATAATCCTAATAGGGTGATAGTGAAGCTTAATATAAAGCTTTATATACCAACGCCGCCTATACTAGAGACTACCCTCTAGGAAGCGTAAACACTAAGTAACGCACGTAAGCTAGAGGCTTAATTAACATTAATACGCGATAGGATATAGAGGCAT